CATGAGGCCTTTACAGTTGCTTTGGAGCTATTTTTATGGTAAAATTCACTATGAAAAGAGATGAACAGCATAAGGTACAAGTTAAGCTCTTGACTATAGAACAGTCTTGCCTACTGATTAACGAGCATGTACTTAAAGGTTCTCTAAAAAAATGAAACCAAAAACTTTAATGTGATGTCATATTAATAAACTGAAACATATTTGATCACTGTTAATAATTCTTTCCTCTAAACTCAGACAAATCATAGACCATTATGTCAAATACTTTAAATGAATCCATGAATAGAAAAAAAGCTTAAGCATGTAAACTAATAATTTATTCCTTTCTAATTATTTAAGTCTTCTCTATTCATGGATTCACTTAACAGATATTTAGTAACATATGGTCTGTGAGGTCAGGAATTCTGCCAGTCTTGGTTCATTATTATATCACAATTGTCTAGTATACTGCCTGGAAAATGTTAGATGTTTATTTTGCTTGAAGTACAGGAAATTACAGGAAACTCGACATTTTGACCACAAATGCAATAATATTATATGGTTCATCACTAATAAGATGAACGAAGTGCTAGAGACACAGTAGATGTGGACATACTCTTTTTGCTCCTGGATTTTGCCACATCCTTCTCAGAGACTATTAGTACATTGGCAGTAGTATGTGCTCCAAATTCAGACCTGGGTCCACCCAGGTCCTTTCATTTCTTAAGTGTGAGATTATGGTCAGGCCACTGCTTCTGTGCCATCTATAAACTGGTGATAATAGTGACTTCTTGCAATCAGATAGATTTTGCAGGCTAGTACTCTACACAGTATGTGTCACCTAGCAAACCATCAGTCGTCGTTGCTGTTAATATTACTAATACTAATTGGTATAGAATGTGCCAAGCTATAAGGCGTAGGCTCTGTTTTCTATAAGTTGGCTTCTTAGTGAGGGAGATAGAAAAGGCAAACTGTACAGTATGATACTAAGTGTCTCTAGCAGTAAGAGTACACTGGGAGGGGAGACCAGGGATGCTGCCCCCAGAATGACTACTCAAGCTTTCTAGGGGAAGCCATATCTGAACTGATAGGTGAACAAGTGGGACTGAGCCTCCCACTCTCCTCCCAACCCAGGATTGGTGATAGGTGTGCTGGGAAGTGAAGGAGGTAGTATAAGCAAAGACTTGCGTGTGTGAGAAAATGCCCTCTGAGTAAGAGGGGTATGGGGAAGATGAAGTGGTGTAGGGATAAGTGGACTGAGGTCAGATTTTGAAGGGCCCAGCTCAAAAATGAGCAGGGGGTGACCTTCAGTTTGCGTGTGAGAAAAATCCTCCGGGAGTGGTGAGAATGGGTTGTGTTGGGATAAGATGAGAGGAAGATAAGCTAAGAGAATGGTGCAATAAACAGGGATTAAGTGCCTTGATCACAGCTGTGTCTGTGAAGACAGAATCTTGGGAAGCTCCACATTTAGGGGACACGAACTGTCACTTGTCACTTGCAGAGGGGCTTTAAGTACAGTGTAAATTCTAAACTGGTAAGTATGCTGTGATCAGTTAGGTTTGCAAGGGAAGGAATGGGGGATGGATGGGCTACAAACTGAAGAGCAACCCACACTGAGTCTTTTTCCCTAATTCTTTCTATTGCCTGCCCATAATAATCCATATGCGACTCTGGTATTCTGTGAATATTACTGCATTGTCTTAGTTTACTTGTGATTGAAATTCCCCACAGTGTCTAACAAAACATGAGTAACCCTGGCCTTAGAGCAGCCTAATGTTCTAGAAATGAAGGTAAGGATTCAAATGACTCAAAATGCAACCACATCACATAGGGAAATTTAAGCTCATTACTGAGTTTTTGGAGCTAACCAGGTTACTGAAGAGCTTCTTGCATTTTCATAACCCTTGAGACAATACTGTGTTGTCAGATTTACACTCTTTCTGGTAGATAAGACTGACCATGGTCATTTACCAAGAGATTAGTGTTTATTTGGTACTAGGTGAAAAGCAATGGGCAAAACAGATGTTGTCCCTGCCATCATGGAACCTACCTTCTGGAAGATGGAATGTCTTCTTTTGATGAAGAATGGTAAAACTATTTAAAGTACTGAGCATCATGCCTATATCATATTATAATTATTTCCCATTTAAGCGATAGTAGAGGAGGAGGACTTACAGGAGGTTAAAACTTGACTAAGGCTCAAACCATAGTAAATGGTTAATCTAGGTTAGCTATTTAATATTCTGTCATAATTGATTTGTTTTGCCAATCTTACTAGGTTATTATCTCTAATTTATCTCTTCAATGCTATCTACAAGCTCAATTTGGTAGTCGGCTGTAATCACTGTATTCCCTAGAATGCAGCAGCAGCTCCCTTCTATCTGGTCTACTTGCATCCTTTCTCTCTACTAAATCTCTTCTCCACCTTGCAGCAAAAGTAAAATTGAGGCTCCTAAATTCATTTACTATTGCTGCTGTTAAAAGAAAAAAACAGTCCATGAACTGAGTGGCTTAAAGCAACATGAATTACCTTGCACTTCTGTTAAATCAGAAGAGTCGAAAGTTTGAAATAGGTTTCACTGGGCCAAAACTTAAAGGTGTTGGCAGTGCTGCGTTCATTCTGGAAACTCTAGGGACAATCCATTTACTTGCCATTTTCTAGTTTCTGGGGGTCATTCACATGAACTTGTGGTGGTCCTCTATCACATTGAGCAGTGCTTCTGTTAATTCCTCTCCTCTTTTGACTCTTCTGCCTCTTGTTCATGTGTAAGGACTCCTATGATTATGTTAGACCTACTCAGGTAGTCCAGAATGATTCTTCCATCTCAAGGTCCTAAACTTAATCACTTCCATGAAGTTCCTTCTCTGTGTAGGGTTATACCTTCACAGGTTTGGGGAATTAGGAGGTGGTCCTCTTTAAGGGGGCCTTTCTGTCCTAAAACAATGTCTAGAACATTTGGGTGGGTGAGCATTTTTTTTTTTTTTAAGGTGTAACTGTCCTTTCCTGCATAAAGGTTTTCTGTGGTTTTCTATTATAACATTAAAACCCATAACATGGGGGCGCCTGGGTGGCTCAGTGGGTTAAAACCTCTGCCTTCGGCTCGGGTCATGATCCCAGGGTCCTGGGATCGAGCCCCACATCGGGCTCTCTGCTCCGCGGGGAGCCTGCTTCCTCCTCTCTCTCTGCCTGCCTCTCTGCCTGCTTGTGATCTCTGTCTGTCAAATAAATAAATAAAATCTTAAAAAAAAAAAAAAACCATAACATGGTCTATGATGTCCCCATGGCCTAGCCCAGTCTTGCTCTTGCCTGGACCTCTAGCCTCTTCATAGGCTTTCCCCCTTGCTTAAAGGATGTGACTCCAGTGGTTTCCTGGCCCTCAGGATGTTGCCATGGCCTTTGCTTCCACCAGCCTTTTGTATCCCTTTCTATTTCCCCTGCCACCATTCACCATCTGGATCCTACAGCAAATTCAGCTTCCTTAGGGAGTATCATCCTGGCCTTCCCTGTGCTGGTCAAAAAGTCCATTTGCTTGCAATCCTGGAGCCTGGCTTTCTTCATAGCACTTGATCACAGCTTGTATTTGTTCTTTGGTGTTCTTTGATCCGTAAACTCTGCAAAGGCAGTGTTTATTTTCATTGTGTACTCAGTGCTGATCATTGATTCAGTGTGCAATAAGTACTTATTAAAGAAATGGACTTAAAATGAAAAGGCAGTGTGCCTATAAAGTAGCTCTTAGTGTGTTCATCTCTGTACTATTGTTGTAGCCACAGGCACAGTGGGGTTTCGGATTATGGAAAGGGTTGATTGAATACCTGAAGATCGGAGTTTAATAATTCAGTAAATCAACTGAATGTTCATGTAAACAAAGTTAATTTCACTAAGTAATTTTCAGACCCTTCCATTTCGTAAAAATGTGCATAAGACTTGAACTATCTAGCATGAACATGTAGCATGTCATAGTCTAAGAGTTCTTCAAAAGATGTTTTTGAGGGGCACCTAGGTGGCTCATTGGGTTAAAGCCTCTGCCTTCGGCTTAGGTCATGATCCCATGGTCCTGGGATCGAGCCCCGTATCGGGCTTTCTGCTTAGCAGGAGGGAGCCTGCTTCCTCCTCTCTCTCTGCTTGCCTCTCTGCCTACTTGTGATTTCTCTCTGTCAAATGAATAAATAAAATCTTAAAAAAAAAAAAAGATGTTTTTGAGTTCTATTAAATTTTAAAGTGACCTTCATTCAGAGTTGATAGCATGGGTCAGAGGCAGTTTGCCTGATTTGGGCCTGTTGGCGGTGGAACATAAGAGCTTAATGACATTAAGCTCTGTTAGCACTGGTGTTCAAGAGAAGTCAGCCAAGATGTAACACAGTTGCCACTCAACACTGTGGACTGTGAGAGCAATAGGTCAGGAAGTCTTTAGGAAAATGTTGTACAATAGAAGAATGGCTCAATACTTTGTATGACTCAATAGGTTAATTCCTTAATTTTATATTTTATTACAAAGTTTATTATTTTGAGTCCCACTTGTATTTATACAGTCTTAGTTGCCCTATTTAAGCTATAATGTTTTACCTTTACCTATGTAGGCAAAGTTTGTGTTAGATAAGTGTTCCAGTTTTTTAAAATAATTTTATGAACTTAGAGACAGACTTTTGAGACTCTTTCTATTCTATTGAACAAATAATTTGGAAAGAATCAATTTAAAGGCCTATTACTGTATTCTTTTTTCTTGATGTACTGATAGTCTAATTCAAACTTAATTACTGAGGAATCTGTATGTGTTGTATGATATCTATATAGACGTAATGTTTTATAGTCCATAGTGAAATTATATCTGTTATTATGTAGAGTATGAAATATTGATCAGCTTCTTTACTAGACCTGATAAAATGCATCAGACTGATTTACTTTAGCGTTCAGTTTTCCATACCCCTAAGAAGTTACAGTAGTACTTATTAGTTCACTTTGTTACTAGCTTAACTCGTATAAGGCCCAGTTTATGTTAAATGTATGCACATTTTTCTTTTAGGGTATCTTGGATAAAAGACATTGTTGTGGCAGTAACTGGAGAGAACATGGAAGCGATGAAAGGTATCATTCAAAAGTACAAGCATCAGCGCATCTCTCTGGTTGAAGCTGGAGTAACCCGCCACAGGTCAATTTTCAACGGGCTAAGAGCACTGGCAGAGGACCAGCCCAACTCTAAACTCTCTAAGCCAGAAGTTGTGATAATCCATGATGCTGTGAGACCATTTGTGGAGGAAGATGTCCTTCTCAAAGTTGTCACAGCTGCTAAGGAACATGGGGTAAGTGGTTAAACTTCTGAAAAAGGATAAAAGGGACAAATACTGTAGTAAGTGTTAACTTGTTGGATTTTGATGAAATCATATTTAGATGTCCGTTTGTTTAAAACAGGCATGTTGACTTAAAGACATAATGTAAAATTTTTTAGGAAGCTTGGCGTATTCTGAGACTGTACTAGAACTTATATTTTCTTAGAGTCCCTCATCGTAACATGAGCTTTTTTACTACATGAAGACATGTAGTAATGTCTTCAGAGTATAGTTGTGAATGTACACTGAAGGAATGAGAAGCATTGTGCACTTACCTGAAAATACCTAAGAAAACTTTCAAGTCTAAGATGCACATAATAATAAAAAATCTGACTCATCACACCCGAATTGTGTTTTGAGTTTTCGGATGTGGTTTACTTTCCAGCACAGATAGCCAGACAAGATTTTCACACCGTTTAAAGTAAAATGTTTTAGGATGACACAGAATTCTGTGTTCAAATTCACCAGAACATAGGATAGCCAAAGCCATATTATAATCTCTAGAACATCTTTGTTTTGTTCTTATATTACTAGATAAAATCCTAAAAATAAGTTAATAGGTTTATAGTCTAAATTGGAGACAGAATGAGAGTTGCTGTACACATTTGGTACAGCATGATAGCAACAGGCTGTGGAGTGGGACACGTGTAGGCCCAGTTCTCAGGCTTTTTAATTAGTGGTATATGAGCACCTTGCGCAACCTCTTCGAGCCCCTTTGCCTTGTAAAAATACAGATGCTAATCCTTGTGGTTTTTTTAGGTGTTGGAAATTAGGTGTTAACTACTCAGTAGAGTGCTAAGTACTTAAAAATGAAAAGGTATTAAGATGAATTACAACATCTAGGATTGTAGACAAATGGAAGGAGTCCTCTAAGCCTTCTTTGCCATGTGGGTGGTGAGTTAAAAATTACCCATCTGGAAAAGATAGTGTGCGATTTCTCTTTAGTTTCCTATATGCAACTGCAGTCTCTTCCTCAGGGAATTGTTGCTAATGTAATCTCCTCTCCCTATAACATGAATTCCTTTTAAACCTGTATAAGAATTCTGTAAATAAACGAAAACCTTTTTCTTCAATGCAACTTAAAAAAGATACATGGAGTGTATCTTGATGGAGTGAAACTTGAGATAGAGGTTATGTTAGGTGATGTCAAAACTGGATCGGGGCTCCTTCCTGTTCTGCAGGCCCCTCAGCCATGCTAGAGGCCATGTGATCAGCTAGAAGTGCCCAGAGAAGGAATGAAGCAGCACAGGATTTAGAACTTTGAGGAATTAGAAACCTGACAAATTCCTTAAGCTCCTAGGGAGCACTAGATAGTTGGGGCAGATAATTAAAAATTTATAGTACCTGGTGAGTATAATTAGATGTCTTTGCCTTTATTACCTTTTGGGCAACTTTCATGCTCACTATAGAAATTACACATTTGGAATTTTTGGTCAGTTACTCTTTTTGAGATCTTATTTCTAAGCTTGTCAGTAAAGTGACAGTTTTGGTAGTAGGTCTGAAACTGAAGAGGACTCTCCTCCTGCTGCAGTTATAAGCCAAGATACCCAGTATAAGTGGTGACTTAATGAGACATTGACATGTACAGAAGTTATTGACTTTTTTGGTTGTAGATTTGTGGAAATTTTTTACTATATTTATAATTAACATTGATCAGAATAACGTATGTACTATGTATATGATTAAAACTTACATGATATTTTTGTGAACTCGCTGAAAATTTAAGAAGCTAGTTTTAAGTGGAATCTTCACAATTTATTTTGGAGCTTTAGAAACCTGGTGTCTCGATGGAATACTATGCAGCCATCAAAAGAAATGAAATCTTGCCATTTGCGACGACGTGGATAGAACTAGAGGGTATCATGCTTAACGAAATAAGTCAATCGGAGAAAGACAACTATCATATGATCTCCCTGATATGAGGGAGAGGAGATGCAACATGGGGGGTTAAGGGGGTAGGAGAAGAGTAAATGAAACAAGATGGGATTGGGAGGGAGACAAACCATAAGTGACTCTTAATCTCACAAAACAAACTGAGGGTTGATGGGGGGAGGGGGGTTGGGGGGGGTGGGGTTATGGACATTGGGGAGGGATATGCTATGGTGAGTGCTGTGAAGTGTGTAAACCTGGCGATTCACAGACCTGTACCCCTGGGGATAAAAATATATTATATGTTTATAAAAAATAAAATTAAAAAAAAAAAACCTGGTGTCTGCTAGAAATAATATCTTGTTTTGATGGTGTTAGGGAATAAATTTCAAGAAAGTAGCGAGTGAGTTTCATACAGATACGTGAAATCCTTAACATGCTTGTGGAGTTAATGAAGGAACCAGGCACATGTTAGAATCGGAGAAGCACACCTTTTTGTGAAGCAATACTAAAATGAACTCACATAGACAAAACTGCATTTTTTTCCCCCATGTGAGGGGTGTCAAACCTCCACTGGGCAGAGTTTATTTGCATTTTATATGCAAGAATGATTTTGCATTGCTGTCAGTTACCTATAACTTGCGAAGGTTGTAAAAGAGCTCAAAGGCAATGGAAGGTTACATTCAACTAATCCAGAAGGGTTGTCTCTAAACAATACATAGTTTTTCACTGAAGATACTCAGTATCTCTTGGTTATCCTAAGTTAGAAAGGTTAGGCTAGTGACCTAACAACCTTATACCCAGGTATTACTTCATGCCAACACTTTCACACTGTTTTAATTTCTAATCGTAAAAACTAAGTGGAGTTGAGACTTGGCACTCGTAGTTGAAGTTTTGTGTTGGAAAGGAATGACACCTTCTTAGCCTATAGGCATTAAATTGCCCAAGACTGGTCTGAATTGGATACCATCCCAAGGCAAGAAAATGGTGAAGACTTCGCTTAGTCAGAGATACTAAACCACTTGTTTTCCATGGCTTCTTTTGAACTAATTCTCCTTTGTTCCCTTAAATTGTGTTGCATAGATTCTTAATGGATTCTCTTTTGTTCTCTTAGCTCTCAACTTTGAGGCTGTACCCAAAGGTCAGACAGCCCCTAGAGGGCATACATGTTAAAGGGAATTGCGAAATTTTAACTTCTTCGTTTAAAATACATTTTCAAATTGGAGATAGATTACCTCAGAATACTAAAATGTCCCAAATTAAGGCTGATAATTGAGTTATCTGCATATAGGAACTCAGAACTGTCACCAGAACTCAGGTTATCTTACCTCCATAAGCTTCGTTTCAGGGTTCCATGGAGGGGAGAAGACTTTAATACAGCTAGCAGGTAAATCCTTTCAGGGTTATTTCTGCCTTTCATGTGATCACTTGCTGGGGTATAAATTTCTAAGTTTATAAGTATTTTCTCTTTCCCAGTACTTTGAAAATATATCATTGTGTCCTTGCTTTAATTTTGCTTGTGAGAAGTCTGTTGACCAGTATACTAGTGTCCCATTACCAGTCTTATTGTGTCCCTTGAAAGTTACCTACATTTTCTGTCAGGCAGAATTTATTGTTATTTATTTTATTCAAGTTTTTGTTTAAATTCCAGTTAACGTACAGTGGAATATTAATTTCAGGTGTAGAATTTAGTGATTCATCACTTCCATACAACACTTGGTGTTTATCATAACAAGCGCCCTCCTTAATCCCCATCACCCACTTACTCCCCCAACCCTCCTCCAGTAACCCTAAGTTTATTCTCTATAGTTAAGAGGCTTTCCTGGTTTGTCTCTTTTCTCCCCCCAGTATGTTCACCTGTTTTGTTTCTAAAATTCCACATACGAGTGAAATCATATGGTATTTGTCTTTGTCTGATTGACTTACTTCACTCTGTATAACACTATCTAGCTTGATCCATGCCCTAGCCAATAGGAAGATTTCTTTTTTTTTTTTTTTTTGGGATGAGTTATACTCCATTGTACATATATACCACATCTTGATCCATTCCTCAGAAGATGGATGTTTGGGCTCTCTCCATAGTTTGGCTATTGATAATGCTGCTATAAACATCAGGATGCATGTTTCCCTTTGAACTTGTATTTTTGTATTCTTTGCGTAAATAACTTGTAGTGTGAGTGCTGAATCCTAGGGTAATTCTATTTTAAACTTTTTCAGGAACCTCCATACTGCTTTTTTAGAGTGTACTAGCTCTAAGAGGTATCCACATTTCTCTGCATCCTTGCCAATACCTGTTGTTTCCTCTGTTGTTAATTTTAGCCATCCTCGCAAGTGTGAGGTGATATCTCCTTATAGATTTGATTTGAATTTCCCTGATGATGAGTGACATCAAGCATCTTTCATGTGTCTGTTAGCCATCTGTATGTCTTCTTTGGACAATATCTGTCCAAACTCTTTATCTCTCCTTCTATTATGAATGATAGCTTTGCTGGATATAGTATTCTTGGCTGCAGATTTTTCCCTTTTAGCATCTTGAAGGTGCCATGCCACTGTCTTCTGGCTTGCCAGGTTTCTGTGTGGAGATCTGTGGCTAGCCTTATGGGTCTTCCTTTGTAAGTTAAGGACGTATTTTGATGATTTGCGATTTTTTTCTTTTTAACTCCATTTTGCAAATTTACAGTATATCCTGATGTGGCATGTTTTTATTGATTTTTAATAAGAATTTTCTGTGTCTCCTGGATTGGGATCTCTGTTTTCTCTCCTGATCAGGGAAGTTTTCAGCTATTTCTTCAAATAAGCCTTCTGCCTCCTTTTCCCGGTCTTCTTCCACTGGGACTCCTATGCTATGAACCTTACTATGTTTGATGGATTTACCGAATTCCCTAAGTCTACTCTTGTGATCCATAATTCTTCTCTCTTTCATTCAACATTGTCTATAACTTTTATCTTCTATATCACTTACTCATTTCTCTGCTTCTTCCATCCTTGTGGTCATTACATCCATTTGGTTTTGAATTTCAGTACTGCTGTTTTAATTTCTACCTGATTGTTTCTTAGCTCCTTTCTTCTCTGTTGTAAGGTTCTCCCTGATGTCTTCCGTGTTT